GTGTGTGTCTGTCTGTCTCTGTGTGTGTGTGTGTGTGTGTGTCTCTGTGTGTGTGTGTGTGTGTCTCTGTGTGTGTGCGCGTGTGCGTGCGTGTGTGTGTCTCTGTGTGTGTGTGTGTGAGACTGTGTGTGTGTGACTGTGTGTGTGTGTCTCTGTGTGTGTGTCTCTGTGTGTGTGTGTCTCTGTGTGTGTGCGCGTGTGCGTGCGTGTGTGTGTCTCTGTGTGTGTGTGTGTGTGTGTGTGTGTGTGTCTCTGTGTGTGTCTCTGTGTGTGTCTCTGTGTGTGCGTGTGTGACTGTGTGTGTGACTGTGACTGTGTGTGTGACTGTGCGTGTGTGACTGTGTGTGTGTGACTGTGTGTGTGACTGTGTGTGTGCGTGCACGCTTGTGTGTGTGCGTGCACGCTTGTGTGTGTGCGCTCGTGCGTGTGTGCGCGCTCGTGTGTGTGTGTGTGTGTGTGTGCGCATGTGTGTGTGTGCGTGTGCGCAGATGGAGGACAAGGGCAGGCAGCTGCAGGAGCGTCTGGAGCTGGCGGAGCAGAAGCTGCAGCAGATGCTGCGTAAGGCCGAGACGCTGCCGGAGGTGGAGGCAGAGCTGGCTCAGAGGGTCGTGGCCCTCACTAAGGTACGGCTCTCTCTCACACACACACACACACACACACACACACATATGCTGTCAGCGGCCCAGAATCTGGCTGTGATTCCACTGTTGGCCTCCCTGGAACAAAGTCACACAGCCACACCGTTTAGAGAAGACGGAAACTGCTGTTTGTTTTCTATTAGAATACTGCAGTGATATTTGACCACTGATTAGTGATAACAGTGTGACAGTAGTTTATTCTACTTTTTGTTTAGCGTGCACATCATAAACCTGTTTTTGATCTTTTTCATGTAAAATAGGACACACATTCCGTCCTGTCTGCTCCTGATTATTTGTGATCACAGGACTCCACAAAACAACTTTGGAGTTTTCTTTTTGTAACTTGCATAGAAATGTCTGTTTAATTCGTTTTGTGGTGTGAATGTAATTCCTTAACACCTGCATGTGGTCTGAGTGTTTAACTCACACATGGGGCTTTCTTGTAAATAAAAAAAATTTATAAAATTGGCTTTCTAGTTGTGCGTTAAATGAAAGATTTCATTAAGATCATTCGTCTGCTAACTGAGTGAAAATGTGAGCCGGTGTTGTGTGTTCCTGATGTGAATGAGTGAGTGCTGTAGTGAGTTGATCAGTCACACTGGTAGTTTATTTAGTGAAATGTGTGAGATGGACACCGATGTAAGAGGAACATCAGCGCAGATGGGAGGATCTGTGTGTTTAACAGAGTAATGAAGCCACTGCGGTGTTTTTACTTACTGCATCTTCACTTCCTGTCGTCTAGTTCCTTTTCTCCTCTTTAATTGTCGTTTCTGTTTTTCATAGAGCTCAAATCTTTCTCGTGTTCCCTCTCCTCCTCTGTATATGACCGCAGCTCTGTCTGTCTCTCTCCCGTGTGTGAGTGTGAGTGTGAGTGTGAGTGTGAGTGTGAGTGTGAGTGTGAGTGTGTGTGTGTGTGTGTGTGTGTGAGTGTGCGCGTGCGCGTGTGGCGCTCTGCGTGCAGTGTCTCAGGACAGTCGCTCACAGATGAAGGTACACGAGCTCACGCTGTCGTTCTGACTCGGGTGTAGGGCTGTCAAAATGGCTAAAAAACTACATTCGAATCTTGCACTTAAATATTATCAATATTCTAATTATATTCAGATTTGAAAGGCATAATTTCAGTTAGGGGGGAAAAAAGCTTTTGGCTTCTCTCCTGAGGCCACAAGAGGGAGCATCGGGCAAAATATTACTAATGCACGTTTCTTCAAAGCAATAAAATAACACAACTATCTGTGAAAAAAGTGCATAATCTTTATAAACCATCATGTATGCATATTTTAATACAAATGGAAGAAAGCCAATCACACAGAGTACTTTTTTCATTTAAAAACCGTGGGATGGGGGAAAAAACGTCTCAAAGCATGTTTTTTAAAAGTTGAACTCGCATTAATTTTACATGGCGTTGTAAACATGCGTCTCTCTTGTGCGAGACACGAGTGCAGCGGTGATAGATGTCCCTCTAGAAAATGCGATAAATATGCGTTCTGTGTGAACGGCTTGGCTTCAGTTTTGACGTAAACAACATCATCTCCGCATCGATGTTCCTAAAATTCGAATGCAACGTTTTTGCCTCCGAATGTGGAATATTCGAAATCTTTATTTTTATTTTTATTTGACAGCCCTACTCGGGATGCACATTTCAAGTCATTTTCTAGTCGAGCACTTGGGTCAAAAGAATCAGTTCCGAATGACTGAGATGTGAATGCCACATTTAGTTGGTGAACACTTTAAAAAGAAGCTGTTTCATCTTCTTAACCTGGTAACAGCAGTGCAGAAACAGCAACTCTTACTTTCCTTCTGAAGCGCTGATCCTGTAACCTGGAGCGAGTACTCGACTAGTCGTCACTTGTGCACATCCCTGACTCTGCCTGATGGTGGTGTGGTTGTGATCTGGTTCATGCTGGCGTCTGTCAGGAGTCCCATCGTTCCACCCGTGTGAACCCAGCACAGGAGCGCCACACTGAGATCATTCACACATCCGTTTGTCTTCACTAGCTCCAGACACGGCGCACAACTTTCGCTCGTGAACGTTCAGCTTCTCACAGCATGATGAGCGGTTCTGTCTTTCTCTTGGGTTTGCTGCTGATGTAGTTTCTCATGCGTGTCTCTGGCAGGCGGAGGAGCATCATGGGAATGTGGAGGAGCGTCTCAGACAGCTGGAGGCTCAGCTGGAGGAGAAGAACCAGGAGCTGCTCAGGGTGAGTGATCTTCAGACCTCGCTCGCGTTCAGCGGTGCTGCCACCAGTGTTGCGGGGGACGCATTACAAGTAACACGACTTACGGAATCTGATTACTTTTAAGTAACTAGTAAAGTAACGCATTACTTTTTAATTTAGAAGGAAATATCTGAGTTACTTTTTCAAATCAGTAACATAGTTACTTAGTTTCCATGTGTTGAGTGACAGCTCTGGTGTTGCCATGGAGACAGAAATCAGGAGTGAGTGCAGAGTGTTGTGTGTGAACATGATCTTACTGTAGCTCTAGACTCAATATCAACATGTGTTTACTCATCTCACTGCACACAAACACATTCAGTGCTCCTCACAATCAATACATACTGTCCAATGCAAACTCAGAATATTATACTGTACAAATCTGCAATAAATAATTAAATATGTTAAATAAGACAAACATCATTTATGTATGTAATCCCATTTTATTAACCGATGTCTTTGCTGCTGACCTTCGATCCAATTCAACCGTACTAATGAGCAAAAATTACACATTTGTGTTATTGCTGAATAGTGTTGAACGTTCTTCTGCTGCTCATATTCTTCATGTGGTTAGTTTGAGCGGCGCCCTCTACTGTACAGACGAGACTTTACATTTCCTTCAGCCCGAGGTGTATTCATTTAACTTTTGCTGTGAAAAGGGCTTTACATTTGTAAAATAACTTTTTTTTTATATTAAAAACAAACATGCAAGCCCTGCCCAGATTTAAAAAGTAACTCCAAAGAAACGTAACGCATTACTTCCCATAAAAAGTTGCGCAATTAGTTGCTTTTTTAGGGAGTAATGCAGTATTGTAATGCATTACTTTTAAAAGTAACTTTCCCCAGCACACGTCAGACTCACTCACTGTAGTGTAGTGTAAACACAACAGCTGCTTTACTTTTCTATGGTGTTTTAAGGCCCGTCAGCGAGAGAAGATGAACGAAGAGCACAACAAACGTCTGTCGGAGACGGTGGACAAACTGCTGTCCGAGTCCAACGAGAGGCTGCAGCTGCACCTGAAGGAGCGCATGTCTGCGCTGGAGGACAAGGTGCGACTCGAACCACACGTCACTAGTCCCAGACCGAGACACAGTCAGGCCGATGTATGCACTGCCGCTTATTAATGATCACCATACGCACTGAAAGTTCCTGTCTGGCAGATGAGCGGGACGCGGGACTTTTATTTTGACAAGACTGAGAATGCTGGCCCCTGAGCGCACAGAGCTCCTGTTCTCTGTCTTCATTACTTTAACAGAGTCGTTAATGAGTGCTCTGTTAGTTACTGTGATTACTTTCTTTTAATTCATATTTTTAGCAATCTCTTTGTTTTGTAAAATGATTTTGGACATTTTTTACTGTCTGACTGACGCTTGTCTCGCGTGTGTGTGTGTGTGTGTGTGTGTGTGTGTGTGTGTGTGTGTGTGTGTGTGTGTGTGCGCGCGCGTGTGTGTGCGCGTGTGTGTGACGTAGAACACTCTGATTCGGGACCTGGAGCACACCAAGAAGCTGATAGAAGAGGCTCATCATGAGAAGGTCAGTGTGTGCTGCTCGTTCACTCATGCGCATCTCGTCAGTAAAGCCGGTTCTGTGATCAGTAGTAAATATCCATCATGTGAAAATACCACATTTAATAACGTGTTTTTTCTCCAAACTCACTTCATAACGTCAGCCGGGTGTTTGGAATAAATCCTTCTGTGAGATGAAGTGGCTTCTTACACAGAATAAGACACGCAGCATATTTCATAGGATTTAAGCAGTGATAAAAGCATTGCATTATTATATACTTTATTATAAGGAAAATTATAATAATTATTATAAGAACTCCGATAAACCATATATTGTTGCAGTCCTCGTGCTGTATCAATGAAAGCAGTTCAGTCTTCTGTTTCCTGGAACGATGTGCATTACCTTTCTTCTGCGGGGCGTATTTGGAGTTTCTCTGGCCTTCAGATGGAGATTTACTGCTGATCACAGAACCCTGCTTCACTGACGAGATACGCAGCTTCTGCCTAATTGCGATTGCGTTTTAATTTAGATTTATGGTGCAGCCCTATGCTCTGCTGTGATTTGTTTGCTCACGAGTGTGGATCTGTGACCGCAGGAGCAGCTGCTCATCCAGATCGAGAGCATGAGGACCGAACACGAGCGCGGCCGCAGCAGGAGCAACTCTCTGCTGCATCATGGGTAACTCCAGGACTCTAATGAGAATCAGCTGCGCTCGGAGCTTTGCGCTGATGTGGGCTGTGTTTCCCGCAGGCGCAGTACGCCGGACTTCAGGTACCCGGTGTCGGTGTCGTCAGCGATGGACAGTCACTGCAGTGGAGCGCTGGTGCTCAGACGACCGCAGAAGGGCCGCGTGTCTGCGCTGCGAGACGAGCCCTCGAAGGTGAGCGTGGGTTAGACTGTGACAGACATCAGCATCTAGAATATAAGCTCTATCGGGACAGATGATGAAACATGTGTTTCCATGATTTATTCACGGTGGAGAAGAGAGTTCTGTGATCCTCATGTGTTCAGTCTCATATAAACATAATGGGCTTGGACAACTAATAAATATACAGTCAAAACAAAAATTATTAAGACACCTTCAACATTTCTCACATTATATCACAGTTTATTTGTTATAATTTAGAAAATGATAATAAAATATCTCAAGAACTCTGAGTTAAACTGAGTCAGAACAAATTCATCTTTTTGTGTGTGTGTGTCTGTCTGTCTGTCTGT